AGACGAGGGTTAGTAATAAAAACCTCAGTCTCATGTGCGCCAGTATAAAAAGCTAATGATAGGAAAGATCCAATCACAAGCTGCAGTGCCTCAGTTTCAGGCTAGATATATCAAAGCCGATACCAACCAAACCCAGAAAGGTCTGAGAATTAAAGTCGGTAGGAACCGCTTGTTAAAAATCACCTTCATCACCATCCTCCTCGTCGGCTCGCTCCGTTTTGGCTTTCAGCAAGATATGCATTAGCTGGGCAAACATATCATCCGTATCTGGACTCGGGCTTCGAATCGCCGATACTATTTCAGCAAATTTGATATTGCTAGTACCATGCACCTGAAAAGTTCTAGTTGTGCGTGAAAGACAACAGCCTAACTAATTTTTTAGTTTTCCCTTTCTCTTACAGCTAAACAATGAGCCTTTTATCAAAACTGGTAAGGATGTATACCTCTCTGATTGGCAAAAGCTCTGCGAAACTTTGAAAGAACTGGAATATAAATAAGTGATCGCCGAAGTCATCATCGGACATCCAGATCGGAAGACGTAGCGGCGCATATTCTGGCAAAGGCTGAAACAGATTAAATCCAGTGCCTTGTAAAATCCTTTTAAACTTTCTCTGATAAATTAAATGGGGAGCAAAATCAGACAGAAGTGTAAAAAGAAGTGTTTGAAATCTCCACTGATAAAGTACTTGACAACCCCGTTTACGGAGTACAATATACTCCCGGTCCAGAAAAAGAAAGTTGTCCAGCAGAATTTCAACAAAACTTGCATTCAAAGGTTACAGTCGATGTTCGTGACATAAGAAAACAGATATGATAAATCAGAAATAAAAAAAAGGCTAGTGCTATAAAGGCTAATAAAAGGGCTAATAAAAAAGCTAATAAAAAAAAAGCTAATAAAAAAAGGCCAATAAAAAAAAGCACATGTACATTCTTAAAAAAAATATAAATGTCAAGTAATCAATGACATCCGAAGTGGTGGTATGTGAAACCGACAGAAATAGGCCAAACAGGTGCATCATTTAGGTTTTTATTGGCAGTTAAACACAGTAGAGGTAAATGAGATAAAATCCGCTGCTAACATCGCATATGTTAAATGTCCTTTCCGTATTTTAGCCCAAAGTTGCAAGAAAATAAAAAAAAATGGCTTTTTTTATAAGTATTAAAAATAAGGTGATTTTGGGTCTAAATATCATAGATGCGTCGCTACAACTAATACCAATCTGCGCCACCAGAACATGCTGTGATTTGTTTATCCAACTACAACAGAATCAAGCCAATAGTGGTTTGTTCAAAACCACTGTAACAGTTTACTGGGAAAACTGCTCTAGAAGTTATAGACAAAGCAAATGCAGATTTACAAAAGTCGTTGGATTTACCTGGAGATCATCACAAGCCACATCATCTCTCGGCTTTTTCCACTCTAGCAACGCTTCCTTCTCGCGCTGTTTCGCAAGGCGTTTTTCTTCTCGGATCTAAAATGACAAAAATTAAGCTGGGCCATTTTAGCATTCAATTTAAACGACCTTTGAATTTTCCTTTGAATGTTCAAAACAGAAAATCGGACATCGTTATTGATTGAGATTATTATTAGTAGTGATGATATCATCAACAGAATCTCAATTAAAATTAACACACTGCGTACCAGTTTTCGTAAAGCGGCGCATTACTGGCGCTATTTGATTCCCACCTTTTCTTTAGTCTGTCGTATCAGCTGTTTTAGTTCCACAATTTCGGCTCCTGTCAACAGACGCTCGTCCTGCTCCCAGCGTGACAGATCATCGATACTTAGTTTTCGAGCCTGCTCAAACAAACCCTCCAACTCTTCTTGCTGCTGCGCTATCTGAACAATATGAGCATATGACAAGAGAAATTACAGCCGAGAACATCTAACAGTAATTTCTAGAAGGAAGTGATAAATCTTTTTGATAGACAAAAAGTGGACAGCACCCACCCTCCCCCCTTTCCGCCCCCTTCTTCCCTCAACAGCAACGGGAGCTTTCTGTAACAAGCTAAAAATTAAGCTTCGGCAAAGGATACTCCAACATTCATAATACATGCACCATTGGCATATTAGCAAGGCCGATTTCTTCACAGTTTCGACAGTCTGCCTTTCTCCCTATTTTTTTTTTTTATTCCTCTACACCAATATAGCTAGTGCCACACTCAGAGCTTAATAAGCTCGCGTTCGTCAGTACCAATTAAACGAAGCAATGAACCAACAAAAACTAATTTCCCAAATCGTAACTTTAAACTCCAAATTAGCGGCGCGAAAAATGAACCAAACCACAAAAGTATCGAGGAGAAAAATATGCAAAATAAAAATAAGAACAATAATGCTAAAAATTATGACAATACTAGCCCAGTAATAACAGCTAATAAATTTTACAGTAATTTAATTGGAAAATAATTTTCCTCAATAAATATAAGCAATGAGAATCCGTAATCGAAAAACAAACAAAAGAATTACCGCTCGTTTTTTCTTCTCATTTTTTATACTTTCCTTTTTCCTTCTTTTTTCTTCCTTCTTCTCCTCGATACTTTTGTTCTCCAAGTCTGTTTTCTTGGTCCGTTTCCGTTTTTTTTCTTTTTCTGTGATATTAACAAAATCAGCCTCATACTGCGCATCGAAATCATCCATGGTCTGCCCGTCTAAAACAATTCAATTTTAAGTCAAAAAAGCCGAAGCCTAGACAATCCGATATTTTAATCAAAGAATATTTGGCCCA